ATTTGTTTACAAAAGCTCTAAGCTCAGGGAAAGTGAACTATCTATGTAACAAGCTGGGATTATATGACATATATTCTCCAGCTTGAGGGGGAGTGTTAAAGTGAGCCAAATAAGGGTAGTTTAGTCATCTTATCTTTGTTAAGTTGTATGCTCATGTGGCAATTTTATTAGAGACACTCTGCTCCACACTTAAGTAAGGGCAGTTTAGTCTTTGTAGAAATTATTAGCGACTAATTACTATTAAGGGGTCGACTGATAGGGTTTACCTATCAGATTCGACAGTCCCTTCTTTTCCTTCTTCTTCTTCTCTTCTTCTTCCTTTTCTTCTTCTTCCTCTTGCTGGTTCAGGTTACTGTAGCAGCAGTCGAAACACATATGATATGCACTAAACCTTAAAAGGGAAGGACAAAACATGATGGAGTGCACGACATATGGGGAAACATTAATAGTCCATTAAAGTAAAACAAAAAAAAAGGAAAAAGAAACACCATGGAGCATGGTATAATTTCACTATAATAGAAAACACAAGTCTGGACTTTTGTTCTTCCATAAAAGACTTGGTGAAAAGTGGGAATTACCTGGTAACATAGACTTTTACCACCACCTGTGGGCATAAGAATAAAGCAATCTTTCTTTTCCATAGCTGCTTTACAAGCCTGATGCTGCAGAGGTCTAAATGTTCTATTACCAAAAATCACTACATTTGCCAATTCAATATCATCCAGAGCTTGCAGGTCTTCATATGCTAAAGTTTCTTGTTCATCTTTTGACTTGATCTGACATGTTTTTCCATTGGAAATTGATGAAATTGAATGCTCTATGATGCTGCTTTTACACTCCAACAAAACAATCAAGAAAAGTAAAAAAAAAACAACTTCAGTAACTGGAAGGCTCAAACTAATGAATAGACAATAACTTGGAAAGGTTCAAAATTTTAGTGCCTATGCACATTCAACATCTTAAAACTTTTTTATGGTACATGCTAGAAGAAATTGCTCAGTATGTAGTCAAAACTAGGACAGAAAATCACTGAGGAATACATAATCGAGTTCAACCAGATGCACAAGATAGACTTTTCAGTTCACATTCCATCCCAATCCTTCCCGGAAAAAAAACCAATTTCTCTTTATGATCTTTTATCATTGCAATCTTCAGAAACAAAGTAGTGAAACTCATGGTTGATTTAAACAAAGCACACTCCACCTTCAATACTGCACAAAAGGAAACAATGGAAAGCAAGAAAGCTCCTTCAGAAGAATTGCTTACACTAGATTTCAGAGGATGCTTTCCTGAACTTTGAGCAAAGGAAGAGCTATTCTTTCTATCAAAAGAAGATGAAGAACAAGATCCCCTAGGGTTGTTGTTTGGAAACCCGGAATCTGATCCTTCCCCGTCACTAGATGAATCAATTGTCATGAAATGTTCTTGAGTCATAGGTTGAGGTGAATCTTCACTAACACTGATATAGCTTTGAGACTTGTCCTCATTTTCTGTTTCATAGTCATCTTTGGTTTCTTTATCAAACATATTAGTTAAAGCTCCACAAGCTTCTGATTCCATTGCTTGCAAATCATCCCAATCTTCACTGTCCTGCATGGATTCAGCCAGTGCTGCAAGATAATCATCACCACAATGCTCAACAGTAACAAAATCCTTTCCATCTTCTCCTGCATGAGAGAAACATATAAAAAAATGAAAAAGAAGATGGATGGTGAAAAATGAGATCAAGAAATCTGGGGTAAAATCTTATTGTTTATTAGGAAATTCCATCTAATATAGATGGGAAATAGTTTGACTTTCATCATAAGTTCCTATAGACGTATATGAGAAAATCATGACAATTTTTCTTTATATCACCAAAATGTAGGACCTCGGTGTATGATCATTAATAATGTCAATTACTGGTGACCTATTTGACTTAAATGTGGCAATATTTTTGTAGTATTAAACATGAATTTTCATTATTTGCATTGCTTTCATGAAAGATAATCAACAACCAACTAGATCAAATAACTAATGTTAAGCTTTCTATGTGCCGAGTATTTAAGACCTTATGATTTCATTAAATTCATAGGGTTTAGCAGTATAGTATGGATAGTTCATTTAGCTTTATGAGAGGACACCTTAAGTGGCCATTGATTTGTGGAATAGTAAAATTTCAGGATGACAGGCATGTGAACGCAGGTTTGAGTATGAGAGCAACCACTTTGTGTAAAAAAATGCTGGGGTTAGATCCATATCCTATCCACCCCTTCCAAGACCCCAAATAACTGGGGATATGTCCCTTTTTTCTATCTAATAAGGGAGATAAAAGTTATGCTTTTGAAAGCTTCCAGCAAATACTATGCAAATTGGGAAAGAAGAGTGGACTGAATACAGTTTCGGCATTTTAGCATGAAGCAGCCGCTATCAAGCTTGAAAAAATGCTGCTTTTCGGCCGATATTCTACCAATAAAGAGGTATTCTCTTGTATTAAATCTCAACTCGAAGATTCCTCCTATACATTGTGCTCCTCGTATTTATTAATACCAATAAATATTATGGTTTCTTCTTCACACTAATTGTTCCTCGTTGTTTCTATCAATTTACTTGAAATTTATCACAGCCACTATGGTCGAGTTTGAAAATTTAGGACAACCCAAGTGATTAGTTCGATCAAGGACAGGGGAACACTAATCGTGAAGACAATGCAAGGAAATATAAACACCGGGCATTCATATTGTGGTTAACTTCTTTATACATTCCGTTAAGTACGGAGTCATCTGTGCCCCTGTCGAACAAACAGCTTATACTTCATTTATCAACTGCTAGAAAACTCCACCTCCCAACACATTTTTTATCCGAAAGACTTCAGTAAATCCTTTCAGATTTCCATCCTCTCCTCCGTTATCTCTACACTCTCTTTGAAATTGCATAACATCTTGATTCGTTCAACAAACCAACGTATGAATACATTTCATGGGGGAAGGGGTTCGCGCGAGTGGTTTCGAAAGGACACGAGTAAGAAAGAAGAGCTAGGGTTTTGGATTACCGTAGAGTTGAACCAGACGATCCAGACATTTCTTTGAAGACTTCTCATCGAAGCCGAAATCGATAGCTAAGCTAAGCAGCTTTGCTTTCTCTAGTTCGAGTTCGTGATCCTTCATTGTTATCTCCCGCTCAAATCAAACGCACAAACTTAACCAGGGGTTCTGTCTGCTTATATATTCGTTGTATTTACATTCGTGGGGCCTCACGTGACGACGTGACGTTAGCCTTTGACAAACACTCTTCGATTCGATTGGGGCATTGAATTGAATCAGATGCGTAGTAGATCCAGATTTGATTTGCTTATTTATTCGAATTCAAATCAATGTTTTAACAAAGTGATAGATAAAAAAAAAAACAGTAAAATTACCATTTTATCCATCTTTGTTAGAAGAAGGAAAGGGGAAATAGGGTTATGACACCAGACACCAATCAACTGTTAAAGCTCCCGCTCCCGTTTTCAAGTTCCTCCATTCAACGATCAATTGTAATTGGACGGTCACTGCCCGGTTTCGCAACCCTTTTTCTTCTTTTAACACTCAGACACAAATGGGTAAAATGATCAGAAAAATACCATAAAAAATAATTTTGTTATTTTGAAATTATTTAATGTATACCTGATAATTTTGTTATTTTGAAATTATTTTGTTATTTTGAAAAATAACTAAGGGTCAATTAAGAGAACTATTAGACACAATTTGAATGTTCATGGTACTACAAAGACATGTTGGGAGCTATTAGACACAATTTGAATGTTCATGGTATTATAAAAACATGTTTTGAAGTTTGGGGACTGACTTGACACAACCCCCAAAGTTCAAGGTAAGTTTATATCGGACTCGGATTGCAATAGGATATCAAGTGGTATAAATAAATTAAGTAAAAAAATGATAAAAAATATTATACATTGGTAATAAAATGAACTAAAATTTGACTTTAATATTATGGTTGTGTTTGATATCATTATCTATCACTTCAAGATCCAATAATGGTTGAAAAAAATGCTTGTGCTTTTTTCTTTGTATACAATGTCTTTTTCCTGTTAATAATTTGTTAAATTTTAATACCAATGGATAATTAAATCGAGTCTGATCAGATTTGGATATCTGACATCTTTAACGAATTTGAATTTGAATTAATCTTTGACTCTTTGTAATATCCATTGAATCATCATATTGAATCGGATATAGAATTTATATTATAGAATTAGATTCAGATACAATTTAAATCCAATCCAATCCATTTGCATCCCTAATTTCATATGAAAGTGTCACTATATACATTCTCACATAAAACTTGTTTTGTTGTTACTTGTGCTGATTAGAGGTTGAACATGTGTTTTTGAGTTGTATTGTATTTGGTATTGGCATTGCAACTTAACCATCCTGCTATAATGATCTCTCAGGCAATGGTGGAATTTAAAAATAATTGTTATATATATATATATATAAAACGGATGCTCTCTCCGTGCAGCAAATGGAATCTATTCATGCGAGTAGATTCCCACGTGAGAGTTCACAACCCAGTAATTATAGTAATTAATGGACAGTTAATGGAATCTACTGATTATTACAGTAATTTAATAAATTCATAATTAGTGATTATAATTAATAATTACTATTATTATAAATATTATTAATAACTAGATATTTAATTTAAAATTATAAATACTGTTATTAAAAAATATTGTTAATAAATTACTGATCATTACAATAATTTAATAAATATATAATTAGTGATTATAATTAATAATTACTATTATTATAAATATTGTTAATAAATAGATATTTACTTTAATTTTACTTTAAATTAAATATTAAAAAATATTGTTAATAAATTACTGATTATTACAGTAATTTAATAAATATATAATTAGTGATTATAATTAATAATTACTATTATTATAAATATTGTTAATAAATAGATATTTACTTTAATTTTACTTTAAATTAAAATTATAAATATTGTTAATAAATTTAGTAATTATTGTTATATTAAATATTATTAAAACTATCATTAATGATTATTTAATTAAATAGTATAATTACTTACTATTATTGATAAATGTTGTTAATAACGTTCTGACAATCGATGGTTCGACCGTCTGGTTCGAACGGATGGCCCGTTCTGACAACAAAAATTACAAACAAAAAATTATGGAACTGTTCTAGCCACCGATTTTCAGGTCAATAGGTCAATCATCCAGTTCGAACGGGCGGTCCGTTCTGACAACAAAAATTATAGGCAAAAAATTGAGTTTGTGAGGTCTATTAAGTAGTATCGTACATGTTATGTCATTCGAGCGTTTGACTCATATGACTCAAAAACGGAACCGTTCTGGCCACTGGTTTTTGGGTTGACAGTTCAACCGTTCAGTTCGAACGGACGGCCCATTCTGACAACAAAAAATTACAAAACCGTTTTGGCCATCGATTTTCGGGTCAACGGTTCAATCGTTCGGTTCGAACGGGTGATCCATTCTAACAACAAAAATTACAAGAAAAATATTGAGTGTGTGAGATTCATTAAGCAGTATCATACGTGTTATGTCATTCGAGCGTGTGACTCATACAAGTCGAAAATGGAACTGTTCTGGCTACTGATTTTCGGGTTGACGGTTCGAACGGACAAACCATTCTGACAACAAAAATTAAAAAAATAAAAAGCAACCAAAAACCATCGAATGGGTCAATGGGTTAACGGTTTGACCACTCAGGTCAATGGACTATTGACCGATTCAACGGTTTTTGGCCAGGGACCGGGATTGGGGTAAAACGGAACTGGTTGCCTGGACGGTTCCCAATCAAAAAAAAAAAATGAATGACCCATTCTGACAAAAAAATTGAGTGTGTGAGGTCCATTAAGCAGTACCATACGTGTTATGTCATTCGAGCTTGTGACTCATACGACTTGAAAATGGAACCGTTCTGGCCACTGGTTTTCGGGTTGATGGTTCGACTGTTCGGTTCGAACAGATGGCCCGTTCTGACAATAAAGATTAAAAAAAATAACTAAAAATCATTGAACGGGTCAATGGTTCGACTACTTGGGTCAATGAGTATTGACCGATTCAACGATTTTTTACCAGGGACTGAGATTAGGATAAAAACAGAACTAATTGCCTAGATAGTTTCCAATTAAAAAAAAACGGTCAAAAACCATTAAACAGGTCGACGAATTAACAATTCGACCGCTCAAGTCAATGGATCGTTGACCGATTCAACAGTTTTTAGCCAAGGACTAGGTCAATGGATCAACAGGTCGACGGTTCCATTCCAGCCTAATGAGGGCCTCTCCGCTAGTTGACTCATTACACATAGATTTGGATGTATTGGGGGTGGGATTTATGGGTATTTGGGAATTGATTATGTATATCCATCTTTGGTTGTATATGATGCACTAGAATATAATTCATTGCCAAGTAAGAGCTAGGCCATTGGACTAATTTTTTTTTTTTCAAGTGGGCGGTTAATGGAAGAAACATCAAATTAATGTTCTCCCAACGCCCATGGTTTTGAAAAAAAACATTTTATGACTTTTAACTCAAAACAGTCTCAACTGAATAAAAAATTAGGTTATATTTGTTTTCGGTGTAAATACAAAAATACATCGATGTAAATTAAAAACGGCCAAATGTATCATCACAAAAGTTGAACCGGTCAATGTTTAGTTTTACACTGTTGTGCGTTTGAAAGATGAGTGTAAATCATGAGAGTATTTTTTATGTGTGTTTGGAATTAACATGGGTGTAAAACTACACCCAGAATTAAAAATGCCTATTAATGTCAAATTCAATTGTTTTGAAATAAAAGCCTACATAAAAACTATTGCACGGAACCATGTGCCGATTCCCGAGGAAAGAAAGAAACTTCACACCACTCACCTCTGTACAACAAAAACTACTACCCACTTCCCTCCTCATCCCTCTCACACACTCTCTCTCTCCCTTTTTGGCCGGCTCTCGCATGATCGCATCCATAGAGAAACCCAGAATTGAACCAGAAGCTCAAACACTTGCAACCCACAAAGTTCTCTCACCCAGCAATAGTGGAAGGAGGAGCAGTGCTTCCAACTCGCTTGAGTTCAAGTTCTAGATGGTTAGAAACCCATCCTTCCCACAACCCAACCTCCACTCTACTGATGAATTATTCGTTGACGGCATTCTGCTCCCACTCCACCTCCCTTCCCACCACTCCAACCCACCTGTCTCGGAACCCAAAGCCAATGTAGAGGAGATGCACACTCCAGAACCCGAATCAGAGCTTGGGTCAAGACTAGAGTCAGCAACTTTGTTATCCGAGTCACCACTTGTATTTTTGACATTCAAGCGATGGGGGGACATTTTCAAGAAGGGTGAAAGGAAAGCAGAAGCCGTGGCATCCTCTACAACCACCAACAATCATGAAGACAGAGACAAAGACAAGAAGAAAGAAAGGAAAAGTAGTAGTGGTGTGAACGCAACGAAGCTCAACATCAATATATGGCCATTCTCCATAAGTCGTTCGGCTGGGAATAGCGGAAACCGACCAAAGATGACTGCTGGAAGGGTGGCTTCTTGAAAGGTTAGTAGTGCCCCTTGCTCACGCAGTAACTCAACTGGGGAGTACAAGTTCTGGAAATGGCCAAGTAGTCTTGGTTGAGGTGGGATCCATGTGGGGAGGAGTAGCCCAGTTTGTCAGGTACGACGTGGAGGCTCCGATGCAAGAAGCTCCAAGCCTCTGGCTTGGAATGCCAATAAGGGGGTAAAGAAGGAATGATTAGAGAGTTGGCAGAGCAAGAATGTTGGTGGTGGTGGAGCCAGAGCTAGGGTTTTGAATTTGAATGTTCTGATGTGTATAGGGTGCCATTCCCATTTGAGTTGTAGGAACGATGCGAGTAGAGCCATTGGCAATGGTTGTAGTCATGAACAGGGCCAAGGTGTAGCCAGCTCTAGATCTGGTACCTTCTGTTCGTTGCGAGGTGGGGATGATGACAACTTGAGAGCGTCCTCAGTGTTATGAGATTAGGGCGTTTGAATATGTGAAAGATAGTGAGAAAAGAAGAGAAAGAGCGAGAGAGAGGGAGGGAGTGGAAGAGAGGGGGTGACCAGTAGAACGGTGGTGAGGGTGCTAGCAAAGTGCTCAATAGTGAGAGAGAGAGGATCAAAGGAGACGAAGAGTTGTTGGCTAATTCGGAGTTTTTACACCTTGTTTACTTCGATGGAGTTTTACATCAAAAATATCGATGTATAAAATACATTGACAATCAAAGTAAAAAAAAAAATCGGAAA